ACAAAATAAATTGATTTTTTCAACAAAAATAAATTGTAATTTTAACTTGGAAGGGAGTTTTGGAAAATGTTTTCCTTAAGTTTTGAAGGGAAGTCATTTTTCTTAAACTTGAAAAAAATGAGTTGATTTGGAAAATATTTTCCAAAATATTTTACCCAACCAAACATGAGAAAATTGAAAAACATTTTCCTCCGTACCAAAGACACCCAAAGACTTGATTTTCTTTTTGTTAGCATGAATTGAGCTTTATTTATATATGAATTATAATCTTTATTGGACTATTCAAAATTTGAAGTCTCAAACATGGAATAATATGTTAAGAGATAAAAACTATGGAAAATATATGAAATATTTATAAATTATATCAAAGTAAATACTTTTATGTACAAAATAAATTAAAACCAAACCAACTCAACCCTTGTTTATTCAATACCAAACCAAGTCGAATCAAACTACTAGCCGAATTTTTTTCAATTTGACTCGATTTATGATTTCATTCAATTTTTGATTCGATTTTATTCACCCATAATACTAATATTCTACTTATAATATTAGTGTCATTCATTATATAGTGGTATACTTTTTTTTTTTGTAAAATTACTCTTATATAGTAACATTTATACTGAAAAAGTAGAAAAGTAGCGTGGTTACATGCGACCAACAAAGTAAATCATCTCTTAATTTTTTTTTAAATTAAATAAATAAAAATACATATCTATTTTTAATATAATAAATAAATAAAAATATATAGTAAAACACGATTTTTATTAATTAAGAGAAAAAGGAGGGTTGACTAAGCAATCCATAAATTTTAATAATAAACGTGTTCAAGTGAATTGAAGCGACATTTTAGTCCCTACCTATATAGCTTGGTGAACCTCACACGGTCTCACCACGAAGATTATGATGAAATGATCAGTACTTGTTTATTTTTTAATTAAAGATTTTATATTCAAATTTTTAAAATGAAATAAGTACAAAATAAAACGGCACGAATTTAAATTAATTAAGTATACACAAAATATTTATTTAATTTTAGAGGGAAAAAAAGAGGTGACTGAAATTATACCGTCCAACTTTAGCTGCCCCTAATGAAAATTATAGCTTCTATTTAGGTAATTATCATTCCATATTTAGTAGGTTGGATGGAACAGTACTTAATCTATTAAGTTTGTTAGATTAAAATCAAATCTACGTAACTGAATCATGAACATGGTGCAATATAATACATACTACGAGTTTTATAATGGGCACAACATTAATTAGTTTTCCCGTTGTTATAATTATAAAGGTTTTGCAAGTCAACAAATAATTTTAACTAAGTATATAATTAGTTCAAAATTATAAATTTTATATTTTAAGGATATTTACTTATAGATATTTTTTTGTGAAAATATTCATAGTGTATATATATAAACTTAGAGCCCATTTGAGTTGGTTGAATTTAAGTAGTTTTTAATTTTCAAGTGCTGAAAAATACATTTTAAGAGTTCTAAAATTTATAAGAGATAAAAAAAACTAAAATAATTAATCAAAGCCAAACAACTTAATTTTAAGCCAAAAATAATAAGTTTAGATAGCATGAATTTTGCTAAAAAGACTTTAATAAAAGTCTTTTTGAATAGACTTAATTTAAGTGCTTTTAAGTTAAAATAGTTTTTCAGTATTTACTCTAAAATAAATGAGATAGTAATACTCCGACATTTTTCATATAGATTCATGATATTACAACTCATTGAAAGAAAATCCCAGCATTTTACATAATATTAATAACTAGAAATAAACAAATAAATAAAAAGCTTACATCAATCATACTAGAGACTTAAGAGGCATCCTCAAGATCATACCTTCATGTCTTCACATGACCAAATTAAAAGATAAATAAATTACTTTTTAGGTTCAAAATCCATCCAATTACTTTCACTAGGTGGTCCAGTACTATAACTTGAAGAATTCCCAAAATCCATTGTAAATCTTAGAAAATCTTCTTCTTGATTATGATAATAACTTGCTTGTTGTTGTTGTTGTTGTTGTTGTAATTCCAACGACGTATTCGGTGCAATAAAATTACCTCCCGATGATGATTGTTGATGATGATGATAAAAACTTGATTGATCTGAAACTCCAAAATTCATCATATGATCAATATTATTGTTGCTTCCATCGCGAAGTAATTGTGCATAGTGATGAACATTAGGGAAATGTTGTTGATACAAATTAGGCTGAGTGACCATCTGAGGAATATTATTATTATTATTATTATTAAATGTGTAGTGTTGTTGTTGTTGTTGATGAGTTGTAGTAAGATATTGAGTATTTCCTGATTGAACTCTTTCAGGAAAATTGAGTTTAGCTTTGTTGCCTTTGAATCTAAGTGCCGCTTCATCATAAGCAAGTGCCGCGGCTTCAGCAGTATCAAATGTCCCTAGCCATACTCGTGCAGCCTTCTTTGGATCGCGTATTTCAGCAGCCCATTTTCCCCATGGTCTTTGTCGCACTCCTCTATAATGTCGTTTTCTTTGTTCGTTCCCTTCCCACACACATAGCACAATTCAATTTAATGTTTATACACTGACAATATATATATATATATAAAGACGGTAATTATTCATATAAGAGAAGGTTGACAATATAATTTAGTTAAAAAGTTAAAGAAATTAAATTAAACCATGTAGTTGTTAAAAATAATACCATCCATGTGTAAAATATGTACTCTTGTGTACTAGAAAATCAAGTTGCGCACGCACAATAGGAATTAATATAGGGTAGTTAAAGAATTAATATAAATGAGTTTTTCCTTTTTCTTATTTTTTTGCTTTTGCATTGAAGAAATTACATGGAAAAAGTTGTTGAAGAAAAACTCAAGTTTAATTTTTGCTAGGAAGATAGATATACTTAGAGAAGAATGAAGTATATATACTTGTATAAGATTATAGTCACATAAAAATGTATGACTTTAGTAAGCATAAGATGTTTACCACATAATAAACTATAGCTAATTGATCCCTTTATTTTATTAGTGAAGACCGATTTTAACAAAGATATATCTTTTATTGATTGAAGAAAAATATACAAGTTTGTGTCCAACTAGATATGTACCTTGTTCTTGAATTTGATTTGTTGTTGATTGAGGTAGGGTTAATGGATTAATTCCATGCACGGACGATGACGAAGAGATATTCGTAGTATTATTACTATTATTTGTGTTGCCAATAACTTGAGAGAGAACAGAAACCATAGCAGACATGTCATGTTGAGATCGAGCTGAATAAATAGGGAAAATAGATTCATTAATATCCTCTTTCTCCTCCGATTCATTGGATGAAAAGGGCCTCTTCCCATACCTTCGATCCACGATTGCTACTTTTGTAATGATCTTTTGATGGATCAGTACGTGAACTTCAGATATCAGATGATTAAACCGATGAAGAAAGCAAAATGTTGAAGTATGGATTTGTGGAAGAAGAGAATATAGGAAGGAATTGTTGCTTTGCTAGGGTTTACTACTATGTAGTAACTATATATACTTGTGAAATGTGAACTAACACTTATCATGCTATGTGTGGAAAGAATATGTGGCTCATGCCTTTCGGTTTCGGTGGCTTTTTTTACTATTTATGGATGGGAAAACAATTACACACTTTTTTTTTTTTGGATTGTTACTTTCTTCTTTTATATTCTTTTGTCTCAATTTACGTGGCGCGTATTTTCTTTAAATTTTTTCCAAAAAATAAACTATATATATATATATAATTGTGTTTAATGTAAAATCCTTGTTATATTCTTAATGATATACTCCCTCTATTCCATACTATAAGTGACTTTATAATTGGGCGTTTTTCATTGTTCAAAATAATTGAAGTATTCAAAGTTCAAGATAAATGTTTGAAAATTTTTTCTATTTGCCCTTTCTTTTAGTGAAGTTTTATATTTTCAAGATGATAGTTAAATTACACTACTTACAAAGTTATATTTATGATTTCACAAAAGGCAATAGTGAAAAATATGTTTTACATTATGCCTTGGAATGTTTTTCTAATAGTTGTGCATTGCCTCACAAGTTCACTTAATATGGAATAGAGGAAGTATAATTTATCGTCTATATAAGAGAATCGATGTTTTAATTGACTCATTTTAAGTGTTTTAAGTCAAAATGATTTGTAGCGTTTGAGTAAATTAAAAAAAAAGTGCTTATAAGTACTTAATTTTAAGTTAAAATGATAAAATTAAGTCAAAAGTTCATCCAAACAGGCTCGACTTATAAGGCAAAAGTTATAAATTAAAAATCTTAACTTATGACTTATTTCTATCATTTTAACTTAATATTAAATACCTATAAACACTTTTAAATTTATCCAAACACTAAAAAAATCTTAAAAGTTATTTTACCTTAAAAACATATCTAAAATAAGCTAATCCAAATAAATATAATAAATATACTAAAAGAGAGTATATCATAGAATAAAGTGCTTAATTTTTTCAAACATAAGCAATCATACCAAAAAAAATTCAAACATATTAAACCACAAATTCAAACATTTTTTTTAAAAAAAGAAAAACTTTATAGCTAATCGAACAATGCAATAACAGGCAAAAAAGAATATATAATCAGAATTCACAATATTACAATGTAAATGTCAACAGTCAAATGAAATACTTATATATAATTGACGGAAGAAAAAGGAAAATAATAAATCAAATGAAGATATTGGAGTTTCAGTTTTCATACTTTGACTGTAATTAATTAATCATGACAAAATAAGTCCCCACGTTTTATATTTTCAATAATTCAAATTTATTCCATTTCTATAATAATTCAAATTTATTCCATTTCTATATCTAAATAAATATATAATACGTGTCCACATGACACCTACTTCTTGAAGTTTTTATTCAACTATACAAATCCGGGCTCAATATATATTACATTCTTTATTTAATTTAGGAAAAATTATCTAAATACATAACTTATTTTATCATATTTTTCAAAATTCCTATTATTGAAGAAATTACAAAAATTCTTACTCTCTATTCTCGGATACATCACTTTACGCGATGTATTTATCGGATATATCACTTTATACGATGTATATGTCAGATACATCACTTTACGCGATGTATCGGTCGGACACTTCACTTTACGCGATGTATTGATTGGATACATCACTTTATGCGATGTATTTGGATGTTGAGTGGTGTATCCGAAACCGAGACCCAATGTATCGGGACGTTGAGGGATGTATCTGACACCGAGACCGATGTATCGAGACCTTTTGGAATGTATCCGAATTTCACCAAATTTAAGAAATTTCTGTAATTTGAAAAATAATAGGGATATGATGTAATTAGTTGTTAACATTGAGATTTGTGTAAAATTCCCTTTAATTTATGTGAAACAGATAGAATTAGGAGAGTCAACTAAATTTTCAAATATTCTTGTTATTAATTATTTTTATAATATTTTTAATTTGTTTTTCAAATAATATTTGTAGCACATGTGATATTTTAAGACTTGAGCAATTTTTAATATATATATATATATATATATTAAATATTTAAAGTTATTAATTATTGTGATTTATGTGGTACAAGTGAAATTTTCATCATTATTATTTATGATACTCTTAGTTAACGTAATTTTTAAATAATATATGATAGCCCATTTATTTCAATTTATGTGGCACAAATAAAATTTTGAAAGTCAATCGAACTTGAACTTTTAATATATTTTTATATATACTAAAAAGGAAAATAAATAAAAGAAATACGAAATATTGCAATTTGTAGTACTAAAATAAGAAAAAACAATACTAGATATAAAAAAGAAGAAATTTGAGGAGAGTAGCTTCGCTCTTCTAATATATAGTAAAGTATTAGTAGTACATGAGAAATTAATTAATGAGTAGAAAAAAAGAGCGGGAAGTGATGAATTAATTAGCATATCTCTT